CTAAAACAACAACAACAAAAACCAAATGAGTGTCTCCTCCATGTGCTGGCATTAGGATTCTGTACTGGGGTGCCGTTCACACAATGACCACACAGCTTCTTCCAATCTGGGATGATGTGATTGGTTAAGCTACAAAGCTGATTAATAACCGATTACAACAATTATCTCATGACGTGGTGATGATGGCTACATAAAAACGTGTATTTTCGAAGGAATAATATTTTATTTAAAAGTTAATTTAAAATATTGAAGCATGTTTTTATAACCTATCAGTAAACTTTTCCTAGGGGAGGAAAATGCAGAAGGAATTGTGTAGTATTCTGGCAGGAAAAAAAACCTTGTGTCTTTTTTTTTTTAATTGAATTATAAAAGTGGTTTGGAATTTGCCATAGGTCCAAACTGCATGTCCTTTGTTCAGTTTTAGAAGCACCTAGGATTACAGACATAGGAATGTGTGCCGTTGGATACAAATATTCTTATGTAAGTTACAATATATGAAGTTTTAAAAAAACCAAAAAAAAATTACTGATGATTTGAGGGCCAGGAAGTATCTGCCACCTAATTTAAAGGTTAGTCAAGGACAACCCAGAGTGTTTTAACAGGCTGTTTTATTAGCTCTAATGGAAGTCTTTTCTAAACATTTGTCTTATTTTGTGACACATGCTCTTCATAAAACCATGTTAGAAATGGTCATTTGGAATTTTCATATGAATAAAACAGAAATACAATAGTTGTACATCTTGAAGACATTTGATCAAAAGAAACTATCTCTTCTGATGTGTTAAAAGACACGGCTTGTTAAGGATTATTTCAACATGGTATTAAACGTATCAGGGCTTCTCAAACTTTAATGTGTATGTGAATCACCTACGGATCTTGTTAAAGTGAAGATTCTGACTTAGAAGGTCTGGGAGGAGCCTGCATTTTAAAGCAGTCCAGGTGATGCTGGTGCTACAGGTCCTGCGATCTCACCTGACTGGGGAGGCATCATTGGAATCACCTGAGGTTGAACTTCGCTGCTTTTTTTTCTTTTTGGAGGGGGAGGTAATTAGGTTTATTTATTTGATGGGTGTACAGAGGATTGAACCCAGGACCTTGTGCATGCTAAGCATGTGCTCTAACATTGAGCTACACCTCCCCTCCCACCTGAGGTTGAACTTTGATCCAAGATGACCTGTGGACGTGGTTGATGGGTTTCTCATGTTACCCAACCTCAGCTAACAATTTACCTGTTGATGTATCTGTTTTATTAAAAGGTCTGTGAAAGAATAGGAGGTACCTTGGAATATTTAAAAAAATAAAAAAACTAACTCTAGATCTGGCTTTACTTTTTCTTTCTCTTCCTAATTAAGCAAACTGTGCAGAAAACTTCAGATAATGGTTTGCTTTTTCCCTTTAACTGGTGAAGGCAGCACGACATTTTATTTTCCCACAAGTATATTCTCAGATCAGATATTTTACAGACCAGGGAAGTTAGTCATTTTGAGGTTTATCAAGGGATAGAGTAAGGTTGCAAAATTTAGCAAAAACCAAAAGAGGAAATAAAAATAAAACAAAACCTTAAACAAACAACAACCTCCAAAAAGATGGGATGCCCAGTTAAATCTGAATTTTAGATAAAGGGTTTTTTTTTTCAGTATATCCCATGCAATATATGGAAGATTGAGCTTTATACTAAAAAAAAAATCATTATTCATCTGAAACTTAGGTTTAACTGGGTGTTCTGTATTTTATCCGGCAACCATTGCTAAAAGCATATCCTAGGTTCTAACTCACATTTAAGTGCTAAGAGAGCAGATGCCAGGATGGAGAATTAACAGACCCACTGACAGTGTTGTTTAAACATTCCAGCAGGGAATTGCTTTCTGAGTTTGCCAGTACCACATGGAGCACTTGGCTATTCCTGCTGTTAATTCACGGAAACTCCTTTTAGGAGTTTTGTGCCCAGAAAGATCACACTTAAAAAAATCATGATAGAGGGCAAACGGGAAGTGAAACTAACAAGAGTCTTGTATCAGTAGCTTTCCTTCCGGGGAAGGACTAGGTGGCACAAAACAGGAAGGTTTTTCTTCTAGTTCACTGTCTTTCCCTCTTCTGAAGAGCTGAGGATGCTCAGTGGGAAAATGGAGACAGTGACTTCTCAGAATCCTGAGAGGTTCTTCTTAATACATCACATTTTGGCTGGTTGACTGGACTTCAGATTATCTTGGAAGGAAGGAAGAAATCTGTAAGATGGTTGTAGGCACTTTCTCTCCTCTTGCTTATCAGTTGTTGAAAGCAGTCTTTACCAGCTTTTAAAGAGGGTCATCTAGTCCTCTGATTTCACTTTTATGTTTGACAGCCAATAAAGAGGTTCAGATACTTTAGCAAAAAAAGAGGAATTGCCTCATTTTCCAGCTGCCTTTTCTTGCTTATTTTTCGTTTCTGCTGACTTCAAATGCCAAGTCATTCCTGCCATGATGTTTATAATCAATCCTAAGTTAGAACCAAGTCTTGCCTGCTAGCAAAATGCTTTTGAGTGTTTTGTCCTTGTTTAAGCATTTGAGAATTATGAAGTCCCTATTCTGGTTAAAAAAAAATAGTAAATCCAATTACTTTGGAGAAAACTACAAGTGATACATGTATGACACACACTTTGTCAAACAAAATGTATTTAGTAAAAAAATTAGTGAAATCTAGATTATGATAAGGGAGGAGAGTTAATTTCACTTGAACTCATTCCTTATCCCGTCAGCATAGGCATTATACAACCTACACATCCACATGGTTAATTGTGGTTTTTTTCTCCCCCCATAGAAATGGGTAGAAAGTGAAATTTTCGTGACGTGAAGCTTTGATCCATGAGAGTGTAGTTAAGTATTAGAAATTAGTAGTTACGCTTGGAATTGAACAAATGAGCTACCATGTTATAGCTCTTATGAACTGTAACAGAACTTTGGTTCCTACATAACCAGAATAATTTATTTTGGAAAAAAGTAAAAATGAGTGTACCCAGGATGCTTTGCGTACAAATGCTCCCCCACCTTCTGATAATGTTCAGTATAAACACAAAAGGCCTGTGCTCTCTGCTATGCAGGGGGTGGGGGGGTGCAGACTTAAAGGCCCCTTCGAGATCATAGACTACCAAGCAAGGTACAGAGATTCTATGAGAGGCTCAAAGTTCAATAGTTGATGACGGTGAATGCTTGCTATGTGCCAGGCATGGTTGTTCCCCTTAAAGAAACCCAGAAATGGGAAGAAAGCATTTAAGCAAGAGAGTCATGGTGATATAGGGAATAATGAGGACATCAGAGGTATGAAAATTGAAGTCAGTAGTAACATAAAAATAAATATTTAAGAAACTGTGTACATCTTTAAATAGGCTCTCTTATTCTGATCATGCCTTGAGGATGATTTTTTTTAAAAAGAAACTTTTGGTTAATAGCAAACACAACACTTCTTGTAAAATATTGGATGTAACTATTTCTACTAAAATAGATCCTTTAATCCACTCTGGAATGTGTAATCACAGTTATCTGATTGTTTGGTATTCAGAATTTACCTACTACAAATGCACCCTCTCTACTTCACATAATTGAAATAATCCAAACCCGTTCACACTTCTCCAAGTTTTTTCATATGCCTCCCATCAAGGAAATTATAAGATGTCTAGACAGGTGGCTTTGCGTTTCCCCTTCTGGGAGACAGTATTATATGAGGCGGGCAGACTAGGGTGCTGGAAAAAGGAGTGGCTCACACTAGCAGACAGATCCTGATCAGATATTCAAATGGGCTTTCAAAGGAGTGCAACAGTGCATGTCAATAAGCTCCTGGATGTAATTACTTCCTATTCCCGGGATCCGCCTTGGAGAACGGCTTGCTGACTCACCAGACTGCTCCGAGTTAGTTTCTGCTGGGTTTCCCCACTGTCTGCTCCACGTGAGTCACCACTGGAATGAAGTTTCTACCCGTCTCCTTAACAACCATGCAGAAACCAGCCACTGACAGTGAAGTTGGATCTTTCCAATAAGAGCCAGACCTTAGGCAGAGAGGGTGAAGAATGATGTGGCAGGTATCACTGCCAGCCAAGCTGCCAGATGACAGTCTTCCGCCCAAAGGCGTTTGTCAGCGGCACCCCAGTTTCAGCATGGTTTCCCCACCCACCCAGGTAGTTAAACTGGCATCCTGTCTTGCAACGCCTGCAGCTGCGGGCCACTGAACTCTGCCCTTGCCTCACTGGTTCCCAAATTTGGCTGCACAATGAAGTCGCCTGATTAACACACACACACACACACACACACACACACACACACACAAGGCAGCAACAACCCCCCATATGAATGCCTGGCTGTCATCTCAAAACAGTCTGATTTAAATGGGTTGGGATGAGATAGGGACGTCAGGATTTTTCAAGGCTCTCCAGGCAGCAAAATTTGGGAAACTTTGCACTGAATAAGTATTGCCCTTTCCACGCAAGTGAAACCTGCCAGTTGAGCTTACCTAAGGACCACTCTGTGGGCTCCCAAACTTCCTACCTTGGAGATCTACTGACAGCTCCTAACCGATATCTTGATTAATTTGACAGCGAAGAACGCTAGCAAAGCAAGGGGGCATTTCCAGAAGGGGCACTGGCTAGACAAGGACCCCACCCCCACCCGCCTCTTTGGCTTGCTAAAAACTTAGCTAAATTTAGTGCCTAAGCGAAGCATCTCAAATGTTGCTGTTCTCTCGGTTACCTTTTGATCTCTGTTCTGTTTCATTCCACAGTGTCTTGTCCGGCAAAGTTGTAAGGCTCGGGTCCTTCAGATTAGAAGCAGGTGCTGCGTCAAACCTCAGTAGAGACGGGACTGCACGCTTCACCTCGCCAGGACCGAACCGCGCCTCGCAGTGCGGCCCCAGGCCAGATACTATGCTAATCAAGAAAGTTCTTCCGTCTCCTTGCGGGCGGGCGGGTGCAGGTTTGAACACTTAACCCTTGATTTTACGTGACTGCACTATAGTGCGTTTAGTGACCTCGTCTTGCCTAGCAGGTCTGGACCACGTTCCATGTTTTTGGAAGAGGCAAGGACGTGCGCAAGTGATGGAGAAAGCCGGCAGGGAGAGGACAGCAGTGTTGGCTGGTGGCCGGGTGAAGGGGCGGCTAATGGTCGGAATATTAATTACTCCGCGCGCTACTGACCCAGCGCGGACTGGCAGAAGACAAAGGCGCTCCCGATCAAATGGCTGCAGCCACCCTGCCCCCGTGGTTACAGCTCTGCCCTCTGCACTGGGCGGCCCTTGGCACGGGACTGGCAGAGGGACTCAAGGGGCGACCAAGCCCACAGGCCCTTTTGGCGTCTGAAAGTCTGCGTTACCGAGCGCTCCGGGTCCAGAGGGGAGGGTCTTTCTGTGCCCATTCCTCCTGCGCGCCCTTTGTGGGATTTCTGGACACGGCCCAGCCCTCCTAAGGGTGAACTAAAGAATTTCTTACGGAAACCGTGAGGAGTTGCTGAGCAGGGTGCTCCCTGCGGAAGAACCACTTGGGCTCAGAATGATAACCCGCTCTCTTTCCCACCCGTCCGGCTCCCGCGTTGCGGGCGCCCGGGAGCACGAGCCGGAGCCAGAGTCCGCGTGGGGAGAGGTGGGGCTGGTCCCTGCTGGAGGAG